AAATAAATTGATGTGTGTCGGTTTAGGGAAATACCGGGAAATACCAGTAAATGACGCATCATGCACGTGAGGTTATCTGACGGAGAGACGCAAAGCAGTTTAAAGCAGAGTCCTGCACGGGTCCTGTTAGGTAAACCTGGCCTGCATCCGCAGTACACAACAGAACACCCGACCCGTTATCTGACAGCAGCCAGCACCAATTTAATTCTGTACCCGTCCGTTTGACATAAAGACCGCGACCTGAACCGCACCCGCATTAAATAGGCTACTGCATCAGTAAGGCGACATTATTTATTTTCTCATGTGACAAGCAATCAAACCAAAATAGGCATTTTAAGTTGGTGCTTTGAAGAGAAATAGACAAGCAGCGCAACAGAAGAATGATAAGAACGCGCATCCTTTCTGTATACAATACAAAATTTTGCCTACATCTTGTGAACAATCTGCCAGGCTGGTTTGAACAAATGTGTATAAACTACATACTTAAATCTTCATAAATGAAAAGAACATATTTAGATATGACTTTACTGTTAAGTGCCATTGTCTCTCCTTAAACTCTGCAGTGTATAGGTTATGTGGCCGTAAGTCCTTTACAGAAGCATTAAAAATAAATCTTAAAAATAAAATGGTATAGGCTACAGAAAGCGAGCAACGAGTGCTCCCAAGCTGTCATTCGCTTCAGCTGCAGCGCGAATGGCTATAATGCGCAACGCTGCAAATCGAATGTTGAGGCTCCGCCATTATTATTGAATTTCATTAGTCCCACTTATTTATGCACGTTTGTTCGCAGGGAAAGTGAGCAAGACACGACAGTTACGGTATCATGATTATAGTTAAATAAGATCAAAGACATAGGCTATAATATAAAGAAAATAGCTACATTTATTTTCAAATTAAATATCACAACACACATTTATCATTCAGTCTAGTGCGTTTTACATATAATGTAAGCGCAACTTGTGTAGATTTAAAAAGGCATGACTGCTTCATCTGTCAAAGACAATGAAACGGCACTAATGATTGGGGGTGGAGATGGGGTAGCGCGAAAAAAAACTTGTTGATGCGCAGCCTAGAGCCCTGAGCGGGACAGTTTTCTTAAGCCCGCTCCCGCTGAATTTCTGACCATTACCGCCCACTCCCGCAACGTGTGTGTCCCGCTCCCGCAAACATTCTAATATTGCATATACAGGGATTCAAGTTTTCTGTCGCTACAATGGATTTCCGTCAATTAGAAAAAATGACGGGAAAAGAAACATGTAGCGCGTTGTTGTTGTTCTGTCGGCACACTAAAAATCATCCCCGCCACGGCTGCAGCTTCTCAGTGAAAACATAGTGACGCCGCTCGCATCATTCATAGTCGGGTTATTAGCAGAGAACACAGAGCAGGACTTGAATTTCGGCGCGGGATTGCAGCTATTAATAATAATTCTACTCATTCCCGCAGGTTCCGCGCTTATAACGCGATGACAAGATGACGTAACGTATCATTTGCACGTGCTTTTGAGTCTTGAGAACTCACTCGCGCGCTCTCATTTTCTGTGCGCCCACAGATCGCGATAAGGAGAGTGACAACTTTTAATAGTTATTAAGGGAGTTTGCAAATGTGATATTGATTTAATACAACAGTTCAATACCATCTAATCAATCTCAGCGTGCTTTAATTTTGTGTCGCTAGACGTTTGCATCACTAAGGTTAAATTAGCCTAAGTCTTTCTTTGGCCTGGGCTCTGGAAGTGATATGTTAAATCTAATAAACTTTAATTACAAAAACTAAAACTGAAACTAAACTATATAAAAACTAAATAGAAATGTGTTCACAAAATAAAAACTAAACTAAAACTAACAAAATTATTAATGAAACTAATAAAAACTAAACTAAATTTTATTGCAAATTTGAAAACGATATTAAAATAATAAAACAAATTTAAAAATGCAAAACTATAATAACCTTGGTATTACATTAATTTTTAATTGAAATAAGAACAAAGAAGGGAACTACAAACAGTTGAGCAAAGAAGTTCATTTTTCGTTTTTTTTTTCAGGTATTTTTAGTTTTTAGGTCAAAATACTACAAGAAATTGAAAAAAAACCAAAAAAAAAAAACCCTGCGTCTTCACTGTATAAATTAAATATACACTGATTCTACAGAAGTTATTCAGTTGAGCAATTTTCATTGAGTTTCATTGAATAACTGTCTGTCTTTTGTTGTTTGATTAACATACAAACTTCTTTCACAATTTGAGTTTACAAGACTTATTAAAATCAAATTACTAATGTTAAATAGTAAAGCGTTGTGATTTCCAAACAATCGCAGAATCACGCTGCACTCCCAGGTGAGAGGTGGTCTAATGGGCTAGCGGATAAAAAATATGCCATCAGACCCTTTGAAGTCTGGGTAAAACGGGTGAAATAAGGTAAAGTCTTACAAGGGATAAAGACTTACATAGAACAAGATATGGTCAAAGTATCATCACTGGAAAAAGTAATTATTTTTGGTTGGTCTTGTACAGTTGTAATGGGATGTCGCGATACCAAAAATCTAGTAGTCTGTACCGATAACACTAAAAGTACACATTACTCGATACCAAGTCAATACCACGGGGAAAAAAATAACAATACTTAAACATCAACTCCTTTATTTAACATTACAAAAATGCAACATTAGTGGCACTTGGCCTTGAAATAATACACTCGCGCATGCACACACACGCACACACACACACACACATACATACATATAGGCTACTCTAAATGCAAGCATTAGTTTAAATTCACTGACATACTGGCAGGCCGAATTAAAAAAAAAAAACATTCATAAACAACAATTATTTAAAACAATAATATTAGCCAATAATGTTAATAAGAATAATCCGCGGACGGATACAAAACGAATAAACAAGCTGTAAGCTGTCAGACAGTTATGTGTGTGTGTGTGTGATCATGCACAGTGCTCGTGCTTTGAGCTGCGCAGAGTGCACGCTCATTTAAATCTCACACAATCATTCATATGTCGTCTCCGTCTTCCACGTGTAGTTCTTTTGTGTGCTTGTAGGCGTTTTTTTTTCCTTTTTTTTTTTTTTTACCCTTTGAGGACCAACTGAAAAACTTCCAGGCATATGCTCTGGCTGCCCCCGTCAGTTCTGGAAGAATTGCAGCCTCGCTAGTCACTACCTTCGGTTCCATTAGTACTTGCACTACTGAAGAAAAACAAGTACCGGCAGGATTTTTAAAATGTAAATACCGACTTTTTGTTATCGTAGTATTGGTTCTCGTGACATCCCTAGTTGTAACACGAAGTGTGATAGTTGACTAGGGATGGCCATTAATACTCTGAAATGACATTTCATTACTATTTTTAGTTTTTTTCCCCACAACTTTGTCATCTTGTGTTACAGGATTCGTTTACAGGAACCCCTAAAAAGATGATGAAAATTGAGGATACTGAAATGTTATGAGCAACTACACTAAGATCCAAAACTATGAGAGAACTCCTGAGCAGCTGAATTGTTTTAATACACTGTTCGCCTTACTGTTTAGAGCATTATTGTGAAATGCTTTCAACAGGTTCTGGTGTTTTATTGGTAGCACAGGTTTTGACAGCTTCTTAAAGAGAAGGTTTTGTCCGTATCACTGAATTCAACATGTTCTTTCCATCTTTTCCTTTTTGGGTATTTGCTAAAGAAAATGTAAATGTGTAAATTTTGTAATGGTTGAATTTTCTATTGTGTTAATTTAGTGCTCAGTGGACATTCTCTTGTATTTATCAGTTTGTTGGATCTCAGAGAGGGTTCACAACAAATTTCCAGTGTTAAATAGTTTTTGGTTTTAAGCGTTCTTTTAGATTTTTTTTGACTTGTTAATTTCTATTTTATTAAGAACGTTTTGAAAATAAAAATTAAACTGGAATGACCAAATAGTTGTCAGTTATTTAATATAGAATGTATATAATTACTGAAGATGCTAAGCTTTCAAGACCTTGGTATGAAATAAAATTAAAAGTCCAAATTTTTTTTTTTGTACAACCTTTTGGATTCTAGTCAAATGGAGCCCTTAAATGCAACAAATGTTTGGAATCGTAAGGAAATACTTATTTGGTAATGAAATTAGTACTTTTACTCTTTAATGTTACATTGAAGCTCTGTTTTCTCTTGATGCAATTGAATTTCTCAATATTATTTCATGTCGGGCTTTACAGGGTTAAGATTTAAATTGAGGTTATATGTTATAGTATGCAGCATAAAAGAGCATACTCCAGTACCCCAAATTTTTTATCTTACTGATTGTTAATACAATTCATGGAAAGAATGCAAAACTGAAATGTATTAAAGGGTTAGTTCACCCAAAAATGAAAATTCTGTCATTAATTACTCGCCCTCATGTTGTTTGAAACCCGTAAGACCTTCGTTCATCTTTGGAACACAAATTAAGGTATTTTTGATGGAATCTGAGAGCTGTCTGACCCTGCATAGACAGCAATACAACTGAAATGTTCCCAAGTCCAGAAACATAGCAAGGAGATCTGTAAAATAATCCATGTGACATCAGGAGTTCAACCGTAATTTATCAACCGTGTTTACGTAAACAGCGTATTCTGTTCTGTGTCAGCTGCGTCACACGGATACGCTGTTTTCGTTCAGAACAAATCACAACAACATAGGAAACCGATCCGGCGTGACGCAGCTGACACAGAACTGCATTCGTTGTTTACATCCAGCTGATACTCTCCAAAATGGCACTACATGGTGATGCGGAGGAGACGAATTGTTGAATAAAGTCGTATTTTTTTTTTCTTTTGTGCACAAAGTATTCCCGTAGCTTCGTAAAATTACGGTTGAACCCCTGATGTCACATGGATTATTTTACCGATCTCCTTGCTACGTCTCTGGACTTGGGAACATTTCAGTTGTATTGCTGTCTATGCAGGGTCAGACAGCTCTCAGATTCCATCAAAAATATCTTAATTTGTGTTCAGAAGATGAATGAAGGTCTTACGGGTTTGAAACGACATGAGGGTGAGTAATTAATGACAGTTAATTAATTTTTGGGTGAAGTATCCCTTTTAACATGTACTTAAAACAGAGAAATATGTCATTAATATCAGTAAAATAAATCAATTAGCCAGTTTGTTTAAATGAAAGGTTTGGAGAAATGAGGATGCCACTGATTAAATTCAACAAATGTAATATTCTAATTAGTGCTGGGCAATGATTAATCACGATGAATTGCATCCAAATAAACGTTTTTGTTTTTATAATATATGTTTGTGTACTGTGTATATTTACATTTAGTAATTTAGCAGATGCTTTAATCCAAAGCGATTTACAAATGAGGACAATGGAAATAATCAAAATCAACAAAAGAGCAATATTGCAAGTGTTATGACAAGTCTCAGTTAGCTTAGTGTAGTACACGTAGCAAGATTTTTTTTTTTAATTATATAAATAAAAAGATAAACAGACATAATAGAAAGAGAATAGAGCAAGCTAGTGTGTAGTGTTTTTTTTTTTTTGCTTTTTGTTAATTGTATAATAAATAAAAAGAAAACAATACAAAAAGAATAGAGAAGCTAGTGTTAGTTTTTCTTATAAAGTTAGTTAGAAATGTTAGAAATGAATACAGTGCAAGTCTAAAAGGGGCAAGTTTTTTAAAGAATAGAAAAAAGAATTAGAGTGCTAGAGTTAGAGGGTCAAATAAAGATGGAAGTGATGTGTTTTTAGCCAAGGTCTAAGGTCTCAGCTGCTCGTACTGAGTTGGCAGGTCATTCCACCAGGAGGGAACATTTAAAGGGGTCATATGATGTTGCTAAAAAGAACATTATTTTGTGTATTTGGTGTAATGAATGAAGATGACGCTATTGATGAAGCACATCTCCACACCTTCAGCACATATACATCCCTGTATAAGAACTTCACTACTACTGAACTTCACTGTGGGAACCAGATACTTCTCACTAAATTCCTCTTGCAACACCATGCCAGTTTGGATGCTGTTAGATCCAAAATGATTTAATTGGCCTGATTTTTTCAGGGACCTTGTCATAAGTCCATTGTTTTGAAATTTCTGTGCCCTTCTAAGTGGTTCTGTTGTTGTCAGCATTACATATGAGACATTACATATGAAATGATAACTTTGAATGTTTTGGTTCAACATACATGTTGATCAAAAATTGCCTTTAATTTACAACCAGAACAATTTTATTTAGTTATTTTGTAACTTTCAGGAGGCTGTACTAATTTTTGCAACATTTTATCACTTTGAATCCTGAATAAGTCTGACATGCTTCTTTGGTAATTGATCAAGCAGACTTGTTCTCTCAAGAGTAATTGGTGAATTTAAGTTTCAGAGGGGGTGTACTCATTTTTGCGGAGTATTGTATAATTAATAATAATAAAACAATTAAAATGATTAAAATAACAGGAATTCAAGGAATAGAGGATGAAGGGAAATCAGTTCATAAAATAGTATAGTTCGTAGATGATGTATTGTTCTTCATAGAAAACCAATCTCATTCCATCCCCCCACTCAGTGTGTGCATGAATATGGACTAGTCTCGGGATATAAAATTAAATGAACAAAAATAAATCTGAAGCAATGATGATTTCTGGTGTTTGGCCATCCCAGTTGGATGAACATGTCTCGTTTCATTGGTCAAAGCAAGGATTTAGATACCTAGGAATTATTCATACTCCCAATCCCAGCCAGCTTTTTGAGGCAAACTATAAAAAACGAATTAAACAAATAAAAAAAACAAATGATGTAATAAGATGGGAGATTCTCCCTCTCCCATTACTGGGCAGAATTGAGGTGATAAGAATGAACTTACTACCCAGATTTCTTTTTTTTTGTTCCAGTCTCTTCCAGTAAGTGTACCCATCTCGGATTTCAATATGTTACATAAATTAATTAGCAAATTCATATGGCAGAAAAAGAAACTAGGATAAAATTTAGAACCTTGCTTTTATCAAAGGAGACCTAGGCTTACCGAATCTAAAATATTAATACTGGACAGCTCAGTTAACTGCAGTAGTGGCCTGGATTAGAAATGACAAAGAATCATGATGGGTCGAAATATTTAGATTTACATTTAGTCATTTAGCAGACGCTTTTATCCAAAGCTAGATATATATATTTTTTTTTATAAAAAAAGATACATAGATAAAGTAGAATTAAAATAGAAAGTGCTAGAGTTAGAGGGTCAAATAAAGATGGAACAGATGTTAGTGAAAGTGATTTTGTGCTTCTTTGAGATGGCACAATAATGCATCGTTCACTTGCAGAACGCAAGCTTCTAGAGGGCACATAACTCTGAAGTAATGAATTTAGGTAAAGGGGTGCAGAGCCAGTGGTGGTTTTGTAGGCAAACATTAATGCCTTGAATTTTATGCGAGCAGCTACTGGTAGCCAGTGCAAATTAAAGAACAGAGGTGTGACGTTCTTTTCGGCTCATTAAAGATGAATCTTGCAGCGGCATTTTGGGCTGATCATCAATCACAACTCCAATTAAGTTGATGAGCCTAATTGGATGGTGAAATTTTGATAAAATTATGGGTTTGTTGAAACCACAAGCAGTTCTGTCTTAGCCAGGTTGAGTTGAAGGTGATGGTCCGTCATCCAACAGGAAAGGTCTGTTAGGCATGCTGAGATGCGAGCAGCTATCGTTGGATCATCAGGATGGAATGAGAGGTAGAGTTGAGTGTCATCAGCATAGCAGTGATATGAAAAGCCATGTTTCTGACATGTAGAAAATATGTAGAACAGAGCACAATAAAAGGGACACCCTTGTCCATTCTGACTTTTATAATTGGTTCCTAAAATCAAAATTCATAATGAATGGATAAAACATTCTTTAAAAATTTGGACAAAAATTAAGAATGTTTGGAGGTCCAGAATCTATTTCCACGGTCATGCCTATAGTTGGTAATATTGATATTCTTCCATGTGTGTGGGACAGTGGATTTAGAATATGGACTGATCAAGTCTTAGAATAAGAAATAAATTATTCACTGGAAAAGAAATGAAGTCATTTTCACAATACAAAGACAATTTAGTATTCCCTCTAAAGATATGTATAGGTACTTCCAGATATGACATTACATTACAAGTCATCAAGAAAAAGACCAAGTTATGAAAGAACCAAACAAAATAGATGAATACTTTATTAATTTAGCAGAAAAACTATTTCTAACTAAAAGACATGTTTCTCATTTATACAAAAGGCTAATAACTAATATTATTACACAATCTGTACTATTACACAAACTAATCTATACTATAGATTATATAGATTAGAAGATGATGCATCTGATGAATTAGGTGAGGGATGTCATAAAATAATTAATAGTCAATCATTGAAAGAATTTGACTGGAAAGTAAAAATATAGATATTTCAATACTAAATAAAATAACCATCTGTAGCATTGTTTTAGAGAAAATGTTAAATAAGAGATCATACATTTTTTTGGGATTGCCCAAAGAATTTTGGGAAAATGTTAAAGAAATAGACAAGATACTAGAGGTAGAAATACCTCTAGATCCAGTGGTGTGTTTATTGGGAGCATTGCCTAAAAAT